GAAAAAAAGAAAAAGGAGCCGTTTTCTAATTTTTCTACTTTCAATATTAAATCAAAAAACGAATGATCAATGATACACGGATTCTGTTGCTCAACTGTTTTTCATTGTCCTCTGGTGTTTCTCATATCTTTCTCATCACACTTTGGTGTTTTTCATCTCTTTCTCATCACTAATTCCTTTCTTGTTATTATAAAAAAAAACTTACTGACCCCAAACTTTTGAATGCTATAGTGTACAGAATCAACAAAATAATGGTAAAATAATGCCAAAAAACTCTCCTACTCATCTCTCTTGTTTCTCAGTTCTGATGAAGGATCGCTGTAAACTCTTCTGTCGTGTCGCGGGGACGATGGCATACTATCAGCTGAGGGATCGGGTCGTCGACGGGACCCCGTGTGGACTGGACACGTATGATATCTGTGTACAAGGCCTCTGCAGGGTATGAAAGGGCTTCTAAAAATGATAATACTATGGTACTTTGAAATTTATTATGCTACTGGATGATTACTGTATTCATATACAATGGTACTTCAAAGAATAACGTGGTACTACCATGGCGTTTATCCAAAACCCATCAAGTTACCATGGTATATGTCTAAAATAAACATAGTAATACCATGGTATGTACCCATGGTACATTTGTGGTGCAAATGGAAACTAACATTCTTATTATATGTGTTTATCATAGCAAGCAGGTTGTGACCATGTTTTGAACTCGAAGGCCAGAAATGATAAGTGTGGCATCTGTGGAGGAGACAACTCTTCATGTAAGACCCTCGCTGGAACCTTCAACAACTCACAATACGGTGAGATCCTATGGACCGCTCTGCTCTCCTCTTCTCATCCCTCTTGAAAGGTTTGCAGTGAGGGGAATGCTGGGAAATGACAGAATCATTTGTTAATTTCATTTGTTGATAAGTTCTTTCTTTCATGGGTGGGATAAAGGAGCAAGACATCATGTGACACAGAAGGGTTTCCTCCCCTCTTTCCTCTTCTTCTATTTGTTGATTTCCTTCTTTATTTTTTTCTTTCTTTGGTTTTCGTCAGCACGCTACTCGTCAAACATGGCTAAAATCATGTTCCTCTGCGGTTTTCTCATCACTCCCTGGTGTTTCTCAGTGTTTCTCATCTTTTTCTCATCGCTCTCTGAGGTTTTTCTTATCTTGTTCTCACTCCTCTCTGGTGTTTTTCATCTTTTTCTCATCATTCTCCAGTGTTTCTCATCTCTTTCTCATTGCTCTCCTGTGTTTCTCTTTTTTTTCTCATTGCTCTCCAGTTTTCTCATCTCTTTCTCATCACTTTCTGGTGTTTCTTATCTTGTTCTTGACACTCTCTGCTGTTTCTCATCTCTTTCTCATCGCTCTCTGGAGTTTTTCTTATCTTGTTCTCACTACTCTCTGGTGTTCTTCATTTTTTCCTCATCACTCTCCAGTGTTTCTCATCTCTTTCTCATCACTTTCTGGTGTTTCTTATCTTGTTCTTGACACTCTCTGTTGTTCCTCAACTTTTTTCTCATTGCTCTGTGGTGTTTCTCATCTCTTTCTCATTGTTTTCTGGTGTTTTGCATTTCTTTCTCATGAATCTCTGGCATTTCTCATCTTGTTCTCACCACTCCCTGGTGTTTCTCAGTGTTTCTCATCTTTTTCTCATTGCTCTCTGGAGTTTCTTATCTCTTTCTCATTGTTATCTGGTGTTTTTCATTCCTTTCTCATGAATCTCTGGTGTTTCTCATTGTCAGACTCTGTTCCATGTTTTGTGTGTGTCCTGCTCCCCATGTGCCTTCCCATGCCCTTATTTGGTTAGTTTCCTGTTCCTCCCCTGATTAGTGTTTCATTGCTCCCAGGTGTGTCTCGTCATCCCCTCCTCCTGTGTGTATAAATAGTGTTCCCAGTCCCAAGTTCTCTGTCCGCTGTTAAACGTCTTCCTGAGTTCGTCTCCCTTGGTTCCTGAAAATAAAGTCTTGGTAAAAGTATTCCCCATCGTCTCCTCGTCCCTCGTGTATGTGCACCGTGACAGAACAGCGGACCGAAACAAAAGTAAGCGGCACCCCTTCTCCTCGTTTTTGTTCTTTCCGCCCTTTTAAAAGTTTTTGTTTCCTGGTTTTTCCCCCCCGCGGCGATGGAAATTGCCGCGCGCGTCGCCGCCCTAGCCGCGGTCCCCCCAGCTCCGCCATGGCCTCCGGAGTCCCCAGCTCCGCCATGGCCTCCCGAGTCCCCAGCTCCGCCATGGCCTCCCGAGTCCCCAGCTCCGCCATGGCCCCCGGAGTCCCCAGCTCCGCCATGGCCTCCGGAGTCCCTAGCTCCGCCATGGCACCCGGAAAGGGTACCGCCCTGAGTTCGTCTCCCTTGTGTTCCTGAAAATAAAGTCTTGGTAAAAGTATTCTCCAGCGTCTCCTCGTTCCTCGTGTATGTGCATCGTGACACTCATCTTGTTCTCATCACTCTCTGGTTTTTCTCATCTTGTTTTCATTGCTCTCTTAAGTTTCTCATCTCTTTCTCATCGCTCTCTCGAGTTTTTCTTATCTTGTTCTCACTCCTCTCTGGTGTTTTTCATCTTTCTCATCATTCTACAGTGTTTCTCATCTCTTTCTCATCACTTTCTGGTGTTTCTTATCTTGTTCTTGACACTAACTGTTGTTTCTCATCTCTTTCTCACTCCTCTCTGGTGTTTTTCATCTTTTTCTCATCATTCTCCAGTGTTTCTCATCTCTTTCTCATCACTCTCCTGTGTTTCTCTTTTTTTCCTCATCACTCTCCAGTGTTTCTCATCTCTTTCTCATCACGTTCTGGTGTTTCTTATCTTGTTCTTGACACTCTCTGGTGTTTCTCTACTTTTTCTCATTGCTCTCTGGAGTTTCTTATCTCTTACTCATTCTTTTCTGGTGTTTTTAATTTCTTTCTCATCACTCTCTGGTTTTTCTCATCTTGTTCTTATCACTCTCTGGTTTTTCTCATCTTGTTTTCATTGCTCTCTTGTGTTTATCATCTCTTTCTCCTCACTTTCTGGAGTTTTTATTTTCTTGTTCTCACTCCTCTCTGGTGTTTTTCATCTTTTTCTCTTCATTATCCAGTGTTTCTCATCTCTTTCTCATTGCTCTCCTGTATTTCTCATTTCTTTCTCATCACGTTCTGGTGTTCCTTATCTTGTTCTCACTACTCTCTGGTGTTTCTCTTTTTTTTCTCATCACTCTCCAGTGTTTCTCATCCCTTTCTCATCACTTTCTGGTGTTTCTTATCTTGTTCTTGACACTCTCTGGTGTTTCTCAACTTTTTTCTCATTGCTCTGTGGTGTTTCTCATCTCTTTCTCATTGTTTTCTGGTGTTTTTCATTTCTTTCTCCTGAATCTCTGATGTTTCTCATCTTGTTCTCACCACTCCCTGGTGTTTCTCAGTGTTTCTCATCTTTTTCTCATCACTCTCTGGAGTTTCTTATCTCTTTCTCATTGTTTTCTGGTGTTTTTAGTTTCTTTCTCCTGAATCTCTGGTGTTTCTCATCTTGTTCTCACCACTCCCTGGTGTTTCTCATTGTTTCTCATCTTTTTCTCATCACTCTCTGGAGTTTCTTATCTCTTTCTCATTGTTTTCTGGTGTTTTTAGTTTCTTTCTCCTGAATCTCTGGTGTTTCTCATCTTGTTCTCACCACTCCCTGGTGTTTCTCATTGTTTCTCGTCTTTTTCTCATTGCTCTCTGGAGTTTCTTATCTCTTTCTCATTGTTTTCTCGTGTTTTTCATCTCTTTCTCATGAATTTCTGTTTTTTTCTCATCTTGTTCTCCTCACTCTCCAGTATTCTCATCTCTTTCTGGTGTTTATCTTGTTCTAACCACTCTCTGGTGTTTCTCATCTTTTTATCATTGCTCTGTGGAGTTTCTCATCTCTTTCTCATCACTCGCTGCTGTTTCTCATCTTGTTATCATCGCTCTCTAAGGTTTCTAATCTAGTTCTTGTGTTGTAGGTTATAATGTTGTGGTTCGAATTCCTGCTGGTGCGACCAACATCGATATAAAGCAGGTCAGCTACTCAGGATTGCCAGAAGATGATAACTACCTCGGTGAGTTAGTACAGATAACCAGACCAGATTACCCTGGTAATACCACAGTACTCTGACACGTGTTATATATACTGAATGATTGCTGTGTTTATATGCCATGATATTTACGTGGCACTCAAATGAAGAATACCATGCTATTGCAATGGCACATGTCCAGAACAGCTGTGGTATTACAATGCTGCTTCACCGTGACTCTTCCGGGAATTCGGGGTCACAGGGAGAGCAAACACCGGATGATTGACAGACGCCGAGGTGCTAATGAAAGTGAGCGAGCGTGTCCAGGACGTTTGTGTAGCTGTTCACACTCGAGTCAAAAGGCCAAATAAACACAAATACACACAGCTGATGAATGAGACGTGACCTAAGGTTCACTGTCCAGGTCTGGGCCTGTATTCACAAAACATTTAATCTCACCACTAAGAGTGCTCCTAAACAGCAGTAAAAGTTTTTAGCTAAGAGTTTTCTCTTGAAACCTATTCACAAAGCTACTGAGACAAATGTGTACTAAGGAATAGACAGAAGTCTTAAGCTCAGAGTAAGGGGGCGGGGTTAACCTCATTGCTATGGATGATGTCAGCGTGCTTATTAACTATGCACACAGTGATTGGCTGGTAGTCTCTGTCAGAGATTTATTCATAGAAATATTGTTGAGTGCAATATTATGTTGCCATATTCAAATAAAGGTTTAAAAATAAAAATGTTGTCGTATTCAAATAAAGATTTTAAAATGCAGGCTAAGTGTCACTAATTAAACAAGTATATGCTTAGCTAATTGTCAGCCTCTTATATGTGTGCTTCTCTTAATTAGTGAATATGCATATAAACAGCCTTTTAATTAACAGAGTGGAATAATTATGGCTGATAGTAAGACATGCAAACGTAAAAGAAAACCAAACTGGACACATGAACATCTGTTAATTCTTGCCCAGCTGGTTAATGAAAGCAAGAATATAATCAAAGGAAAATCTGGAGTTGGGATAACCTCCAAAACCAAAGGCGATAGCTTTTTAAAAGCTCATTATCGTCAAATATTTCTAAAATGTTTATGCTCCGAGGCAGATTGCTGTCCACAGCTATTTTAGGATAGTTTGTGGTTTGATCTTAGGAGTCCTCTTTAATACTCCTAACCTTTCACAGATTTAGGAGCTAGTTTTAGTGCTAAAACACTTAGAGCAAAAAAATTATGAGTCCTAAATCTAGGACTGACACACCAATTATTTGTAAGATTTTCTCCCAAGTCGGCGAGTTATGAGCTACTTGTAGCCTTTAGATGTTTTGTGAATACAGGCCCTGATTTTTCTCATCTGCAGCTCTGTCTGACAATCAGTCCAACTTCCTCCTGAACGGGAACTTCGTGGTGTCCATGTTTAAAAGGGAAATCACCTTTAAGGGAGCAGAGATCGAGTACAGCGGATCTAACACCACGGTTGAGCGGATCAACTGCACACAGCGGATCGAGGAGGAGCTCGTGCTGCAGGCAAGTGAACTACACCAAACACAGCCAATCTGAAGAAGTTCACAGTGAAATGACACAAAACCACAGCACAGTTTTAGACTAATGAGCTGTCAAGCATCACATGATGACAACAGAAACCAGTCAACCAGCTAGATATCTTGTTGTGCATCACTTTATTTTCTTAAGCCTGGTTTGGGCACACTGCAAGTTTTTATTGGTATCTTTGTTTTCAGTAAAAATATAACTAATAGGTAGATTACCTAAGAATCCAAATTGTGTGAGAATTGTGTGAGAATAAGACCAGTATTATTTAGTTATTTTAGTATTATTTATATACTATTATAGTTTTTATTAATATTTTGAATGAGCTTTTATTTTTAGATTTTCAGTTTTCATTTTCATTTTAGTTTTAGTGTGTTGTTACATGCTTTGGTCATTTTTAGATTTTATATAAAAATCAAATATAATTTTAAAAGTAAAATATAAATTTCTTTAAAAAACATTTTATGGTTTTGAAATATTTAAATAGTTAGCTTTAATTTGTTCATTTCGGTTTTAGTTATTTTAGTGCTACAATGTAAACTTTTTTTTACATGAAAAAAGTTTTCATGTGATATTTATATTTTGTTTTATTTAAGCTTTTTCAATTAATTAAAATGATTTTATATAAAAATTAAATGTAATTTTGTAAAACATATACATTGATTTTAGTTTTTAGGTTTTTTAATAATAGCTTTATTTTTATTTATTTCAGTTTAAGTCATTTTAGTGCTTCAACTTATTTGTCTTAAGTTAGTTGCCACGGCAAAAAAAATTTAATTTAATTTAATTTAATTTAATTTAATTTAATTTAATTTAATTTAATTTAATTTAATTTAATTTAATTTAATTTAATTTAATTTAATTTAATTTAATTTAATTTAATTTAATTTAATTTAATTAGTTGCCAAGGCAAAAAATCATATACAATTTATATTTTATTTCAGCTTTATTCAATGAAGAACCATGATTTTATACAAAATATATTTTTATAATAAGATATACATTAATAAAACAAATTTTATTTTTTTTAAATAATTTAAATATGTAGCTTACTTATTTTTATTTCAATTTTAGTGCTTCAACTTAAACGTTGTTTCAGTTAGTTGACAAGGCAAAAAAGTTTGTTTTTCCATGTAATATTTTTATTTTATTTCAGCTTTATTACAATTAATTAAACTGATTTTTTTTTTTGTTTAGTTAATAATACCAAGACTGAATAAGTCTTTATTCAGGGAATATGTCTTGATTTAAGAATGCTTAGATATGTTTTCCTGGAAAAAAGACAAAAATGCTGCTAAATGAAATGATTAATTAATAAAATCTGCAGTATAATAGCACTGAAATGTCTTCATCTGAGGGAGATTTACAGGCTTCCTGTGTAATGAATCTGTTGTCGTCTCAGGTTCTGTGCGTGGGAAACCTGTATAATCCAGACGTCAGATATTCCTTCAGTATTCCCATCGAGGAGCAGAGAGAGCAGTTCGTGTGGGATCTGTCAGGCCCCTGGCAGGAGTGCAGCCGCATGTGTCAAGGTGCCGCTTCTGTTTGGGCATTTTGCCTGGTTTTCTGTCCTTAAACACCTTTTTAGCTGAAAGCAAGCCCCTTCCACGTCATCTGTGTGTGTTTGTCTGCAGGTGAGCGGCGGCGGAAGGCCGTGTGTGTTCGTAAGAGTGATCATTTGGTGGTTTCGGAGCAGAGGTGTGAGAATCTACCTCGACCCAGAGGCACGACGGAGCCCTGCAATACTGACTGTGAACTCAGGTACAAGCACACGACGCCTCTCATGCTTTATATTACTAATGCAGCAGTCCCATACTAGTGATGCAGCAAAAGGAGAACTTCAAATTCTACAAACACTGAATTCACTGAAAATATTTTCATTTTAAATGTTTGATTTGATATTCAGTCTTTGTTTGGAATAACTATTATTTTTTTAAGTGGTAGCAAATGTTTTCCCTTCAATTAGTGTCACTACAAAAGCATCTCGAATCCAACGGCACAAAATATTGTGTAATATTGTAAAAATATTTTACACTTTTGATATATTTTGAAATTTTTTTTTTTGTATTTTATGTGCTTTCATCATTTTATTTATTTATTTTATATTTTAAATATTTTATTTTCTTTAATTTTTATTTCAGTTTTAGTAATTTTAGTGCTTTAACTTTAATTTATTTTATTTCAATAAGTTGCCAAGGTAACGTTTCTCTTTTTTTGCATTTAAATACATTTACATTGTCATTGAGCAGATGCTTTTATCCAAAGCGACTTACAAATGATGACAATAGAAGAAATATTAGTGTTGATGAAGGTTTCACAGAGGAGGTTTTGGACACCTCCTTTCACTTTTTATCATAAATCAGAAAATGCTGTAACAGCCATAAAAAAACTTTTAGGAACAAAATATAATATAAATAAATGGGATTATTGTGTATGGATGCAAATATCTCGGTCATGAGCATTTTTTAGCAGAAAATGCGATAACATTTCCTTGGTTTCTCAGCTAAAAATGTAAACACAACAGAAAAAAAAAACACTTAGCACTAACCAAATGAGCTGAACACTGGCTGGGTGTGTTTTTCCCTCCTCCTCAGGTGGCACGTGGCAGGCCGGAGCGACTGCTCCAGTAAGTGTGGCCCGGGTTACCGTGCGCTGGATGTTCTGTGCATGCGCTACAGCCAGAATAAGAGGCTAAGCGAGCGCATGGAGGCCAGGGCCTGCGCAGACCTGCCCAAACCGCAGACGCGCTCCTTTCACTTTTTATCATAAATCAGAAAATGCTGTAACAGCCATAAAAAAACTTTTAGGAACAAAATATAATATAAATAAATGGGATTGACATATGAACAAACCTCTCTGTAAAAAAAATGAAAAGTCTGGTGTATGTAAGTGCTACTGAAGTGGGAATGTTCGGCTCAGTGCATGAGAAAAAAATGATTAGAAACAGATTTTATAGAAACGTATTGTAATTGTTACTTTTCTTTCCACTAGTCATGTTATGGAGGCAAAATAGCCCAAAATCTCCATATTGACCAGTGCATGTAAAAAGCATAATATTTCATTTGACTTTAAAAAGAGGTTTTTCTTTAGGTGGTGCTGCCTAAGGAAATGCTCTGAAATTAAAATATTGTTTACATGTGATATTACAGTTGTGTGGGAGGACAAAATGGTCAACCTATTCACACTGGGGTTGATGATGCATCACCCACTGTAATATTTTTCTGTAATATTTTATTTTGTTTTATTTAAGTTTTGTTTCAATTAGCAGGATTTAAAATAGTTAATTAGTTAGTAATAACAACCCTGATGCAAGTCACATCAGCTACTAATGTGAACTATTTTCCATCAATATCCTCCATCATTACCGGCTTTTACATTAAATATAATTACATGTGTAATCATTCCTAATGCATGCATTTTTTTAACACTATACATTGTTTGAAGTTATAAAAAAAACAACAAAGTTTATTACTTTTACAAGAATATACTACTTCAGTCTTTCCACTTCAAAATTTCACGTTTAATACAATGTGTTACTTGCAGTTTCTTTGTAATTAATTGTGAAATTTACAAGCAATTTCTCAGACAAAATTGTTTCTACAGCAGTTCTTTCAGTGCATTTCAAAGATTATGTTACTGTTTGTTAAAGCTCACATTTCTAGTAATTATAGCCAAGAAACAGAGGAAATGTAATTGCATTTGCTGCCAAAATATTTTCATGAAATATTTGCATCTGTACACTACATTCAAGTTGCTGATTCATGCTGATTTCACATAGAAACCTCAGACTGTCTTTGTCATGCATATTTTAGTGCAGTTCCCACCCAGTTGCAGTTTGAAATTGTTAGGAAAGCAATTTGACTGAATTCTAAGTGAACGGAGCGACTGCTCCAGTAAGTGTGGCCCGGGTTACCGTGCGCTGGATGTTCTGTGCATGCGCTACAGCCAGAATAAGAGGCTAAGCGAGCGCATGGAGGCCAGGGCCTGCGCAGACCTGCCCAAACCGCAGACGCGCGAGGGATGTCATGGGGACTGTCTGCTCAAGAGCTGGCAGTACAGCACCTGGTCTCAGGTGACGCACGATACTGCTCATATCCTCCGTTATTCTTCACCCTGAGCTCTATATAATAATAATAATAATATAGATAGATAGATAGATAGATAGAGAGATAGATACTGTCAACAGCCTTAAAAAATTACCATGTTTATAGGATTAAAATGTTGTATAAAACCAGTGTGAATGATATATGAACAAACCCCTCAGTAAAAACTTTGAGAATATAGATATTAATAAATCTGCTAAGTTTTATGTATGTAAGTGATACTGAAGTGGAGACACAAACTCATTATGTTTTAGAAACATATGTTTTGTTTTGTTTTGTTTTTTGTTTTAAAAACTACAAAAAAACTATTATAAAAATGCTATATAGATGTCTTTTAAAAAAACTACAAAAAATGACAAAAACATGACAAAATTACTAACATTTTTACCTAAAATTAAAGAGAAAACAGAAAATATAAAAATAAAATATAAAATCTGGGGAAAAAAACCCTATAATTTGTTTGTATTTTTCTTGCCAAAGATACTATAGGGAATGTTTTTAAACAATTCTATAAATGCATTTTAAACAATACTAAATTGAATCGTTATTAATCAAATTGGAATTAAGAATTATAAAACCAGGCGAATGATATATGAACAAACCCCTCTATAAAAACCTTCAGAATATAGATATGAATAAATCTGCTTTTATGTTTATATTAAAAAGTTTTATGTATGTAAGTGCTGCTGAAGTGGAGAAACAAACTCATTTTTAGAAAACGGCCTTTAAAGATATGTATTGTAATTGAAATCTATAGACGCAAATAGATAAAGTGCAATAATAAAATTTGTGTGAATGATATGAACAAACCCCTCAGTAAAAACCTTCAGAATATAGAGAGGAATAAAACTCTAAGTTTTGGTGTGTGTAAGCGCTGCTGAAGTGGGGGAAAATCTCTTTAAAGATATGTATTGTAAATTTGAAATCTACAGACGCGAATAGAGAAAGTGCAATAAATTGAAAACCAGATGAATGATATATGAAAAAAAGCCCCACAGTAAAAACCTTCAGAATATCATTAATAGAATACACAAAAAAATCTAATAAAACTGACAAGAAAACTAAACAAAACAAAAACAAATTGCTAATTACTAATATTAGAAAAATTACTAATAAAATTACAAAAAATCCATGAATTGCTGAAACATTAATATTAAAATGAAAACAGAAAATATAAAAATAAAATCTATTTTAAAATATTAACGCAAATTATAGTATTATATCAGTGCTACATGGTATCATTACAAACATTATGAACACTATAAATGTGCAGTTTTTTAGTTCCTCTCACTCTACGACAAATCCTTTAAATTGAACCATATTTATAACATAACATGAATGATAAATATGAATATAAAACAAACATAAATTATAGTGGCATTCATTTTAAACAATATTTGTTATAAACGCAAAGCTTCACATTTATTTAAAGTGAAACTTAAACTAGCACTATGTGGGAAATGCGCTAAACAAATGAATGTGGGCTCATGTACCTCTCTGATTCGACACCAATCCAATTTTTTTTTTATTTATTTATTTATGACATTAATTGCATATATAAGTTGCCTATAAAAAAAAAAAGTGACTTGTTTTCTGGAGAATACGGTACTTTGAGACTCTGTGCATCTGTTCACATCAGTGTCTGGTGACATGCGGGAAGGGCGTCAGACACCGACAGGTGCTTTGCATTCTGGGAGACGAGAAGCTGAATGAGCAGCGCTGTGACCCAAACACCAAACCCTCGGCGGTGGGCGGCTGTGAGCTTCCCGAATGTGCGTCCTGGCAGGTCGGAGCCTGGAGTCCGGTGAGAAACAGACGCTCGGTTCCTTTATCATGTCAGTTTCTGTCACCAGACGTTCTGAATGGGAATGATGGTGTTTTTAGTGCACGGTGAGCTGCGGTCAGGGCTATCAGATGCGTGCGGTCAGGTGTGTGTCGGGAGCTTACGGCGAGACAGTGGACGACAGAGATTGTAACGCAGCCACCAGACCTCGAGACAGTCAGGTGAACAAACACAATCACGTGCTCCATCTGCACTAGTGCTCAAATCACGATGCAATAAATTGAAAACCAGATGAATGATATATGAAAAAAAGCCCCACAGTAAAAACCTTCAGAATATAGAGAGGAATAAAACTCTAAGTTTTGGAGCATGTAAGTTCTGCTGAAGTGGTGGAAAAACCTTTTTAAAGATATGGATTGTAATCTAAATCTACAAACACAAATAGATAGTGTTATAAAATAAACTCTTTCCACTAGTCTAAAATAAAATAAAATATCCCAGAATTTCCCATTTGAGCAGTGCATGGAAAAATAATGTCTGTAGTGTCTTGCCTTTAAATGATGAAGTGAAGTAAATATATAAGGATCTGTAATTTGCACATTATTTTTATGCTGTTTCTCCTGATTATGTGCCGTTTTGTAATGCGATGTGATTGTGGTTGCAGTGCTCGAAGAGCTGCGGACACGGCGTCCGGACGCGGCAGGCGTACTGTATGAACAATCTGGGTCGCAGGCTGGTGGAGCGAGAGTGTAGCGAGCAGCAGAGAGTCCTGAGCGAACCCTGCAATGACGTGCCCTGTCCTGACTGGAGCGCCAGCGAATGGAGCGAGGTACTGACCACAGCTGAACCAGACGCTAATCACATCCAACCGTACTTATATTCTGAAGCATCATGATGCCCTCATGCTGTTTTGATCTGGTGTTTCTTATAGTAGTACTGCATACTAGTCGAACACTAGGGTTATTATAGATAAATAAATCTAAAAACCATAAATAACATTTCATTACTTTACCTAGTAACAAACATTACAAAAACTGAAATAGAATAAAATATATATATTAAAATACATATTTTATTTCAGCTAATTGCCAAGTTAAGATTTCTAATTTTTCAATTACTTTAACTTGATGTAAACTAAATAAACCAAGACTATAAAGAATACAAGTGAAAAAAACACTGTAATAAAAAAAAACTACTAAAAATGACAAAAACACCCAACAAAATGACTGAAAATGAACAAAATTAACTTTAAAACGAAAACAGAATATGTAAAAAAAAACAAAAAACTAATTCAAAATATTAACAAAATGTATAATAGTCTGCAGCAAAATACAAAGTGTACTGTTGTTTTCTAAATTCAGTTAATTTTCAGATTATGAAAATTTAATCTCTAATTTGTCTGTATTTTCCTTGCTAAAGATACATTGGGGAAAGTTTTTAAACAATCCTATAAATGCATTTTAAAAAATACTAAAGTTATCTATCTATGCATATCCACTTTATAAAAGTGTTTGTCTGTTTTGTAAGTGTCTGAATAAGCATTAGAAGTGTGAACATCTTCAAATCAAGTTCTCCCGTCATCTCTAATTAGGACAAGAGTATATGTGATTTTTCGCTGTGTTAACCTTTCTCTGTCCTCCTCCTCCTCCGTCTCGGCTAAAACTTTGACCCCCTCCTCCAGTTTTACCGCTCGTCTGCCTACGTGTTTCTCGATCTGTTCCATGTGCTTCTGATGCAGGTTTCATCCACTCAACACATAAAGAGCGCTTGCAGATCACGCTGTGTGCGAATCATACAACGACTTTCAGCTGGCACAATCTGTTCAGGTTTGTCTCGCGCAACCCAGACTGTCTCTGGCTGCTCCCGTCATGCTTACCCGAACATCGTTAAGACTTTTTAAACAAAACTAAAGTTTGTGTGATAAGTAAATCTATAATTAGGTGATGTAAAAGTAGTATATTGTTTTGTTGATACAGTTGTTGGGCATCGTGCTGTTGCTGTGGTTACCTCGACAGGTGAACATGACTTCTGTGTGTGAGTCTCTATTTGACCAGGGGAAAATATGCACTTTAATGAACTTCCTTAACTTTTTTTGGTTTTATATTAAATACCTTCTGTTTTTCTTTTTATATATGTATACACGCACACGCGCACACACACACGCACACACACACACACACACATTTTAAGAATAATTTTATGCTGACAGTTGTGTGTTAAGGCTGCATTTATTTGATCAAACATACAGTAAAAATTGTGAAATATTATTACAATTTCAAATAGCTGTTTTCTGTGTGAATTTACGTTAAACTGTAATTTATTTCTGTGATCAAAGCTGAATTTTCAGCATCATTACTCCAGTCTTCAGTGTCACATGATCCTTAAGAAATAATTCTAAGATTCTACAGTTTGGGGTCAGATTAAACAAAAAAGTTAAAAATTAATACTTTTATTAAGCAACGAAGCATTAAATTGATCAAAAGTGACAACAAAGACATTTATAACATTACAAAGATTTCTATTTCAAATAAATGCTGTCCTTTGGACTTTCTATTAATCTTTGAATCCTGAAAAATAAAGTGTATCAGTTTCCACAAAAATATTGGGCAACTGTTTTCAACATTGCTAATAATCAGAAATGTTTCTTGAGCAGCAAATTAGCATATTACATTTTAACAGATATTCATATAGAAAACAGCTGTTTGAAACTGTAAAAATATTTCACAATTTTTACTGTATTTTTGATCAAATAAATGCAGCCTTTGTGAGCAGAATTGACTTTTTTTTTTCATTTTGACAAATGTTAATGATTCCAAAATTTTGACCAGCAGGGTATAATAACCAACATCATCTCTTACCTATGAATCTGACGCGTGTGTGTGTGTGTGTGTAGGACTGTGAGTTGTCAGCTTGTCCTCGCGCAGCGTCAGTGTTTAACACACCCAGACCAGCAGAAGTGGGTCAGAGACACACACAGTGGAGATACGGCTCATGGACCAGCGTGAGTAACATTTCACATCAAATGATCTCATTTGACTCACTTGCGTTTGTTTTTATCTCTTCTAATGAACACCTGAGACAAAGTTGATCCTAGGGCTACCCTCGTCTAAAGATCTTTCTGGTCAACTAGTAGTCGTTCATTTTAAGCATTAGTCGACTAATTGCATGTTTATTATTTATTATTATATATGCAATTTAAATCATAATATTGAGCCTTTAATTGCCTACATTGTCTAATAATTGCTCAATCACATGCATAAAGCTTGCCAGAGTGCACCGGCAGAAGTAATGATTATGAATGTGTCAGGGAAAAACAACAAGGAGACTGCATTAACATTTTAATAAATTATTGTTAAACTAGTGCTTCTTTTGTTTTTGGTTTAAGAGATGAAGTCGGTGACACTGACTTGTCATCTCCGCAGCAGTGGAACGCCCCTGTATGCATGTTTCATATGGATTACATAATCTGAGAATATTTGTTGTCCATTTGAATTGATTCATTTGAAAGTAGGCATTTCGCTCTTTCTCTGTATATTTTTTCATGTCTGTAAGTCAAGTATACACGGAGTTTTGCACTCAAGTTCACAAAGACCGAGACGGCAGAAAGCGCATCCTGTTGGCTTTCATTATTTTACAAAAGCACAATGTTTTGTTGTTATTGTGAGTAGGGCTGGATGATATGGCCAAAAATTATATCACGATATATTTCTTAATTTCGGTCGAGTTTTGGTTCCTTGCCGCTGTCTCCTCTAGCTTGCTTAGTTGGGGACACTTAATTTCCAGCGATATAGTCGACTTGATTGCACAGATACTATTTAAACTGAACTGAGCTGGATGATGACATCACTGAATCAACGATGAACTGACTTTAACTGAAAATTGAGTGTTTACTATTTTCCTGTTTAATACTGTAAAGCTGCTTTGACACAATCTGTATTGTTAAAAGCGCTATATAAATAAATGTGACTTAAAAAAAGCCTCATAAAAACAAATGTCTGTACCTACAAACTTATGAAAAATTAATTGAAGTCTATGAAATCTCCTCCTATAAAACTATATAATATTTTAGAAGAAGAAAAAACCCAGCACAAATAAATTAATGTTCACCTTTTATTTGTATTTAGCCTTCATACAAACAAGAAATGTGAAATCCCTGTCAAATAAACATCTCAGACTCACCTTATTAATATTAATCTTGAACTATAGGCTAACATACACTACCAGCGAAAAGTTTTTGAACAGTAAGATTTTTAATTATGCTGAAAATTCAGCTTTGATCACAGGAATAAATTACATTTTAAAATATATTCAAATAGAAAGCAGTTATTTTAAATAGTAAAAAATATTTCAAAATTTCCCTGTTTTTGCTGTACTTTGGATCAAATAAATACAGGCTTGGTGAGCAGAAGAGAATTATAAAAAAAATTTAAAAAAAAAATAAAAAATCTTACTGTTCAAAAACTTTTGACTGGTACTGTAGGCTGATTATTCTTATAGATTGAAACAAATGTGCTTTATCCAGTAAAAAGAGTATAAAAAGTGCTCTGAGTTGCTGCAGAAAACAAAACAAAAAAATTGAGCAACAACAAAAACGTTGCTGGAGACGGGCTTATTATTGAAAATGCAAACTGATTGTCTGCCAGCAGCAGGCGCTTTGAGAGCGGCAGAAACATCGGTTTCCCCGGTAACGGCTGTAATCAAAGCAGCTCCGCTCATGAACTCTACTTTATCAGATAAAATGAAAATGCCATCTAAACTATTCTGAAGACAGTCGGTTCCCTTCAGAGATGCATTCATATAAAACACCCGCAACGCGTTTTGATTTTGAAGCGTGTAGTGCCAACGAAGTCAAACGCCACAAATAAATCAATGTATGGGAAACACTGGTAATGTATATCGAAATATCGGAAATGTGTTTAAAATCATATCACCGTTATTGAAAAAAAATATATATTGCGATACATATTGATATTGAATTATTGTACAGCCCTAATTGTGAGTGCACACAAATAAACTTAGAGTCTTTACAGATTCTACTGTTCAGCTTCCACACTCCGCACAGACACTTGAACAGGGCACATTTCTCTAGGTTGAGCGGCCATGTAAGTTTGCTAATACTAACATATTTCAGATGATAAGCCATATTTGCGGTCGATAATTTTTTTCTGCGACTAATAATATTTTGGTCGACCAAGCCTCTTCTCATTGACTAACGGTTAGTCGACTATTAGGGGGCCGTAGTTGATAGGACCTCCAGCTGTATTTATGCGTTGTGTGTGTGTTTCAGTGCTCGGTGTCGTGCGGCGAGGGCCGGCGGGAGCGCTACGTCAGCTGTAGAGACGCTCAGGGCGGCGTCGCTGAAGAGTCGTCCTGTGCTCATCTTCCTCGTCCTCCAGACTCCTCCGTGTGTTTCAGTCCCTGCGGTCAGTGGAGGGAAGGAGAATGGACACCAGTGAGTCAAACACACTCGTTTTCAGTCCTGCATGGTCTACATAGAGAAGCATACACCACACGAATGCTTGGTCCTGTTATACATGCTTAACATGCATTGCTGTAGTCGAAAGAGACTGTCATTAAACTAGATGCTTTTATTTAGTTAGCTGCTATAAACATGTAGAAAACAGTGTTATTTTATTCATATTTGTATTAGCCTTTAGTTTTGTATTTTCATATTTAAATGTTAGTTTTAGTAATTTTATTGTTTTTGTCAATATTTTTCTATATGTATATTTAGCTTTCATTTATTTTTCTTTAATTTGTAGTCATTTTAGTACCTCAAATTAAACTTTTAATTTAAATGTTATTTTTAATTTACGCTCAGGGCGGCGTCGCTGAAGAGTCGTCCTGTGCTCATCTTCCTCGTCCTCCAGACTCCTCCGTGTGTTTCAGTCCCTGCGGTCAGTGGAGGGAAGGAGAATGGACACCAGTGAGTCAAACACACTCGTTTTCAGTCCTGCATGGTCTACATAGAGAAGCATACACCACACGAATGCTTGGTCCTGTTATACATGCTTAACATGCATTGCTGTAGTCGAAAGAGACTGTCATTAAACTAGATGCTTTTATTTAGTTAGCTGCTATAAACATGTAGAAAACAGTGTTATTTTATTCATATTTGTATTAGCCTTTAGTTTTGTATTTTCATATTTAAATGTTAGTTTTAGTAATTTTATTGTTTTTGTCAATATTTTTCTATATGTATATTTAGCTTTAATTTATTTTTCTTTAATTTGTAGTCATTTTAGTACCTCAAATTAAACTTTTAATTTAAATTTTATTTTTAATTTACAAATTAAAATTAATTTCAGTTAGTTGCAAAGCAAAATGCTCAATTTTTAAAGGTTTTTTTAAGTTTAAGTTTTTTCGTTTTATTTTATTTTATTTTATTTTATTTTTTAGTTAGTTTTTTTTTGGTGTAGTGTTTCTGTAGTGCAGTGTTTCATTAAGTTATTTTAATTTTAATAGTTTCATAAACTAGCTTTATTTCAGTTAGTTGCCAAGGAAAAATTAATTAAACTGAAAAGTTTTTTAAGTTTAAGTTTTTCATCTAATATTTTATTTTATTTTTTTTATTTTATTTTATTTTATTTTATTTTATTTTATTTTATTTTATTTTATTTTATTTTATT